TTGTTATCTGTGTTTTGTCAGTACTGGGCATCTTTAGTTCCTCACACTCACCAATCTGCCTCAAGGTCTTGTCACCAGCTATTTTTCTCTACCCTGAGTGCCCATCTTAGTTGCTATGCCCCTTTCACTTGGCTATCTCTCTCCCTTCCTTCAGGTCTAAGCTGAAAGGGAAACTTCCCATATCTCTCAGCCTGAGTGAAGTCCCCCATTATATGCTTCTGTAGCATTCTGTGCTGCCTTTTACAGTTATTGCATACTTGCAATAATTTATGTTCCAGTAAACTAAGCTTCATGCAGGGGTCGTGTCCATTTTGTTTACTGTTACATCCCAAGTGCCTGGCATATAGTAGGTATTCAATTAATGTGAACTAAAATAATTTCCTTTTGTTTTTCTGTCAGTACAATGAAGAGAAGCACTTTTACTGTCTGCTGCTTTGAGTCCAGGGCTCTCACTTCAACACTGCCTTTCTAGGAGAGGGCCTGAGCACCGATGGTGCCAGAGCCCACGCTGCTGCATAGGCAGACCTTTGGTTTGGTAGCTCCATATGCACTCCTAATGATCAGCAGCCTGTGTTCCTGCCCCTTACCCTGCCATCAAGAGCAGGCATTTGGGGTGGTATGGCAAGTACTTTTTTATAAAACAGCTACCAGGTACTTAGGCAACGGGTACTTGCCCCAAAATCTGCCTCATTAGAATTGTAGATAGCTAGTAAGTAGTCATGCTTCATGGGTCATTTTCTTTCCTCTACTTCTGAGCAACCTTGATTATTTCAAGCACACTTTGGTCTTTAATTTCTTTTAAATTATAATGATTAGGTAGTAGGGAATTAGCTCTGACTCTGGGGGGCGGGGGGGAGATGTTTTTTTTATTGGAATAGGTTTCAGATTGCCAAATAAAGTAGAAGGTGACTGTCTGAGGAAGGTTGTTTGTATTGTTGCATTGAACCTTTCAAGATGGCTAAGTTATCTTGGGAGGTTTTTGTCCTCATTGGAATTGTTGCTTCTGGTTCTTATGCGTTACTGACCTGCTTTCATGGAGCCTTTCCTGACAAGTCACAGAAGACCTTTATGTTTGTTCCAAAATGAAACCTCCTTCAGTGATAATGCTGGAGCTCATAGCCAATCCTAGACCAATATAAGGTCATATACTCCATGCCCCTGGCTCATTTTGTTTGTTACTTAAGAAGTTCCTGCGACTCACATTGATCACAGGACAGAAATGGTTGTGCTGGAGGCAAGATGATGTAGTCTCTATACCCTCTGCTATTCTGCTCCTGTCACCTCTGCTCACACCCTCGAACAGGCCACTTTCTCCTGTGCTCACTGGCACAGCTACAGCCTTCATCACTGTCCAGTGGAAGGTGCGAGCATGAGGGTTGCAGCCTTGTGTGCTGTCTCCTCCATGGGGGAGCACCATGGGCAGCTTGCCCTCCATCCCTCCAGCTCCTGTAGCAGCTGGTACCAGTGACCCTGCCAAGGAGCTAGGAGCATTTCTTAATATCTGCTTTCCTGCTTCCCAAGAATGTATGAGGAAACTTGAAGGCAGGTTGATAAAGAATTCTCTCTCTCCCTCTCCCTTCCAGTCTCTCTGAAAATCAATGGAAAAAATACCCTCGGGTTAGAATTAACAAAACAAAAAAAATTATTTTTATGTTAATTGAAGAGAAGAAAAAAATACGTGGGAGTTTCACAAATGATCTTATAGACTTTAAAGTTTAAATTTTTATACCACATCTCTGAACTTTTATTGTTATTTTATCATTGAATGGATTCCCACAAATTTTTCACATATTTTATTTTTTATTGTAATGGACTTTTCTTGTGCTTGGAAAATTATGTTTTAAATTACAAACATAAAATTTCAAGCATTTCTAATTATCTTATTTCTATTTACCAATTTCTTTTTTTAAAATATTTTTTATTGATTTCAGAGAGAAAGGAAGAAGGAGAGAGAGAAACATTAATGATGAGAGAGAATCAATGATCAGCTGCCTCCTGCATGCTCCCCACCAGGGATTGAGCCCACAACTTGGACATGTGCCGCTGACCGGAATCAAACCTGGGACCCTTCAGTCAGCAGGCTGACACTCTATCCACTGAGCCAAACCAGCCAGGGCTATTTACTAATTTCTTACTTTATGTTATACAAATCCAAAGCCTCTCTGGCTCAGAACTGTCTGCCAGTTACCCAGGTATTACTGACACTCTTTGAGGCTTTTAGGTTTTGTTTATTTTATTTTAAAATATCAATCCTTATTTCTGATGTAATTCAAAAATAATAGAGTGAAATAAGAAACCCACCTCTTTGGCAACTTAAATGCAATTAGTTTCCCAGTTCCAAGATTTACATTCACTACAAATTTAATATGAAAGGAAAAAAATATATCTGAATTGCCCATCTCTATTTCTTCATTGTCTTTCATATTTGTACCTAATTCTCTAGCCTTGAGTATTCTAAATTTTGGGGACATTTTTTTTCTTTAAAATGGGAGAATTTTTTTAACCTATTTTATGGGGTGAGAGTAAAAAGTTGGAAGAAGCCGAGGCCGGTTTGGCTCAGTGGCTAGAGCATCGACCTGCGGACTGAAGGGTCCCAGGTTCGATTCCGGTCGGGGGCATGTACCTGGATTGCGAGCGCATCCCCGGTGGGAGATGTGCGGGAGGCAGCTGGTCGATGTTTCTCGCTCATCGATGTTTCTAGCTCTCTATCTCTCTCCCTTCCTCTCTGTAAAAAAATCAATAAAATATATTTAAAAAAAAAAAAAAGTTGGAAGAAATATTTATAAGCTATAACATGCTATATGAATGCTTGTGCCATATATGCTAGGAATTGATAACAGTTTACAAGATGGTTATTCCAAATTTTAATTTATTCCTTTCCTGGCTGTTTTATAGCAGTTGACCTCTGCTATAAAAATGAGAGTAACATATCTACTTCATGAGGTAGTTGTGAGGATTCAGTAAGTATAGGTAGAGTGTGTTGAATGATTCAGGGAATTTGTAAACCAAGAGACTGAACAGGAGAGTGCAACTTTCCAAATTGGTTAGACCAAGGAAGAGAATTATCAGTGTGGAGTTCAGGGAAAACCCTGGTAACCACATTCATCCTGAGGAATTTCTTAGAAATCAAGAATCTCAGAAAGTTAGGATTAAGAAGTAGCTTCTCCTTTCTTCTTCATTGTCATTGTATATATTAATTGGCTTGTGTGTGGAATGTATGTGTTATAGGTATGGGATAATAAGTCTTGACTCCTCTGTTGCTCTTTTCAAAGAATTTTGTTTGCCTTTCTCCAAAAATAATGGAAGCCCAGGGTAGTGCACCTTAATTTATTTGATAAATTACTTCTAGGGTATCTCGATCCCATGAGAATAATTTTCCTTAAAGCTATAAGCCAGTCAAAGCAAAGTAACAGAGTAGAAGAAAAATGACAACCAGGCAGCTATGATTGGAATCCTTATTTTCCACCCTTTTCTCCTTCCTCCCAACTGCCTGTTTTTATTAAATAAAATGACCTTGGAAATTACAAACATGAGATTTCTTTCTTTTTATTACCCTCGCCTAAGGACATGCTTTCATTGATTTTAGAGAGAAAAGAGGGAGAGAGAGAGAAAGTGAAACATCGATGGGTTGCCTCGGGTACCCATTGAACATGCCATATGAGCTCCCACCGGAGCTCGAACCCAAAATCCAGGCATATGCCGTGACTGGGAATTGAACCACAACCTCTAAGTCCATGGGGTGACACACTGGTCAGGGCAAGCATGACATTTCTTGAGACTGAAACCAAAATCTCAAACTAAAATAGACAGCAATCAGGCAGATGCCTTAAGTTGACCTAATTTATTCATTTGTTTGTTTATTCAATAACTATTTATTAACATTTACTATGTGTGAAATACAATGCTAAGAGCTCAATCTACAAAGATAAATCTGTTCTCAGGGAATTTTCAGTCTAGTGCAGTGGTCGGCAAACTGTGGCTCGCGAGCCACATGCTGCTCTTTGGCCCCTTGAGTGTGGCTCTTCCACAAAATACCACGTGCGGGCACGCACATACAGTGCGATTGAAACTTCGTGGCCCATGCGCAGAAGTCGGTATTTTGTGGAAGAGCCACACTCAAGGGGCCAAAGAGCCGCATGTGCCTCGCGAGCCGCAGTTTGCCGACCACTGGGAGAGACAAATAAATAGGCAATTATCTTAGTGTATGATAAGTTGTCTGATATATGTGGGCATAAGTGTGAGAGCACAAACTTGGGTGAAGGTTTCCTGGAGGAAGTACAACTGGGGAAAGTCCTGATGAATAAATAAGTAAGAGTGGGAGTTAGAGAGTATTCGTAGAATTTTACTTCAGCGTCTGTGAAAATGGAGTAACACAAGCCAAATCCTGGAGTAAAGTATGGCCTGCAGGAAGTGGGGCAGTTGAAGCAGAAGCAGGAAAAGGTTAGTGACAAGATTTGTGTGTAGGAGCAATAGAATAGAAGGTGGCTTGCCAGTGATTTGATGGCTTATTGATTTTGGTTTAATGTCTTTAGAAGCCTAAAAGCCTCATAAGATGTGAAATAGGGTTTCTTTAAAGAAAAGACCTGTTCTGTGTTTGGATCAGAGCTAGTATCCACCATCTTGATCTCCCCAGGATGGGGTATAGGCAACATAGCTCTTAAATTTTTCTGATGCCGCCCAGCTGGTGTGCCTCAATGGTTAAGCATCGACTTATGAACCAGGTCATGATTCAATTCCTGGTTAGTGCACATGCCCAGGTTGTGGGCTCGATCCCCAGTAGGGGGCCATGCAGAAGGCAGCCAATCAATGATTGTCTCTCATCATTAATGTTTCTATCTCTCTTTCCCTCTCCCTTCCTCTCTGAAATCAATAAAAATATATTTAAAATATTTTTTAAAAGAAAATGAAAAATAATTTTTTTTTCTAATGCCTACTACCTAATAATATGATAGAACCCATGTTACCTGATTGTGAGCCCCTTCTCTCTTTTCTTTTTGCAGGCACCCTAGAATACGTTTCCACACAGGCCTTGTGGACGCCCATCTCTACTGCATGAAAAAATACGTTGTGGACTTCCTAATGGAAAATGAGTAAGAAAGAGGGCGGGTAGAGTCAGGTCCACAGTGCTAAAGCTACTATCTGACTTAGTTAACAGTTTTAAACCTTGATAATGTTAGGTAACCAGTTTTTATAAATTATAATTTATTTTCACCTTTGTTCAAGAAATGAAATCATGTTATCAGCATCCTGTTATTTTGTCTGTACCACAGAGTCCCCCACTTGTATTTTTGGGATCTATGTTATAATAAACCTGAAAAATATTTTTATAAAATTAATAGTAACCTATGATGCCTCTTTCTGCACAGCTCTAAGCTGTTCTTGCTTCCTTCTGTAAGGGTGAGCTCCCCAACTCTAGTGCTATTTGTCTCTAAGTAGATGTCCTTTCCCTAGGCAATTATCCCATAGATGGGCCCTCTTGGCAAAGGGCCAGAGAATTCTCTGAGAGGAAGGAAAAAAGAAGAGCAAGTTTCTCTCCAATGTTGGAAAAGAAGTCTACCTCACTGAGTGAACTTTCATGAATGCAGAGAAACAAATTTTTGTACTTTTCTGATTTTGCTTTGAGAACAGAACTGCGGGCTTTAACAATTCCCAGAGACTGTGTCTGCCAGATCACAGGACTTGGGTTTCCAGAGGGAAAACCTCCTTTTGCTATTGGTCTCAGGACTTTTGATAGGAAATACAACTAGAGTCCTCAGGGGAACAGGTGGGAAAAGATGTAATAAGCATATGGGTAAGAAGAGGAGCAGCTCCTCTCCCTTGAAAATCCAGCTCCACCCATCTCATACCAAAGCAGAGAAAGTAATGTGATGAACTCCCATAGATCCATCACACCGCTTCAATAATTACCAGTTCATGGCCAATCTTGTTTTATACCCATCATACAGCATCACACCAGATTATTTTAAAGCAAGTCATTATGATATAACTTCATCTGTAATTATTTCAGTTGAATTATCTGTAAATATTTCAGTATGTATCTCTAAAACATAAATAATATTTTTCTGTTTTAAACAAAGACCTATACCATTATAACCCCCCCCCCAAAAAAAAAACAAAACACATTGCTTCCTTAATACTACCAAATGGGATTATAGCTTTTGGTGTCTGGATACCAGGATAACAATATCTCCTTTGTAGCTCTTTTGGCCACCAAAAGTAGCTGTTCCCATACCTGACAAGTATTGTACAGTGATATGTCCCTTAAGGACGAGCCTGAATTTGGTGGGTTTGGGGCTTCTAGTCAGAAACCCTGCCAAATAGGACTTTCTCAGAACCTGCTGAAATAGAGAGTGATTCAGAGCCTCAACTCAAACTGCCTCCCCATTTCAAGATCTGCTAAAGATACCCTCATCTCTTTCTTCCCCCCATCTACCCTTCACTTCTCAGAGTTGTTGGGAATAAAATCGTTATATTGAAAATTGACAGATTTCAATATATTAGGGAAAACGTAAAGACATAGCAGGACAAATTAGAATGGTACTCGAGGGAGATTCTTTATTCCTGGCTGATATAGTGGAGGTCTTGTCTGAAAGTTGTGGGAGATAGGATTGAATAGGTTGGTGGGAGCAGCATGTAAAAGACCTTGAAAGCTAAGCAGGGAGTTATAGATCTTTAAACAGAATAGTCCCATATGGAATGAGCAATGATGTAACCTGGCAGGAGAACATACATGATTCTGGGTAGGAAAGAGAATCCTCCAAGGGAAATAGGGGTCATTTATAATTATCTAGCTATGGAGTGATGACTTATTTAGGGATGGAAAGGAAAAAGTAAATCTAGGAGATGCAACGTCAAGAAAAGACTGCTTTAGCCATCCTTTGTTATTTTTCACCTATAAAAGTTAGCATATTCTGCCCTGTGCCTTTTTTAGTTGTTGGCATGTTAATTCTTCCACCAAAATTCTTTGAAATTAGATACCTACCTGGATTTGTAAGGCATTCGGTATACAGGGGTGGACAAAAGTAGGTTAACAGTTATGCATACACGAAACACAGTTTATTATTTTATTATTTATGTATTATTTTCCAGATGAGCAACTGTAAATCTACTTTTGCTCACCCCTGTATGTTTGGTGAATGGAAGGAAAGGAAATGTACTAACAGTTCAAACAGCAGAAATAATTTGGTACATCAGCAATGAAAAAAGAGATGAGGATTTCTGCAGTTGACTAAGTTAAAAAAAACAAAACTATTCTCTCTACTCTTTGCTAATGTATTCCAATTGCTTTTCAGAAAAGATTTTACCAGTTTATACTCTGACTCCCTTTGTCTGAGAGTAACTATCATCTGAAAGCACCCTTAGTAGTAATGAGAATTATTTTAAATCTGCTAATTTGATTGGGGGTTAGAAATTGCAACTTGTTTTAATTTTTATTTCTTTAAAAAAATTTTTTATGTTTCTTGAACTTTTATATCTATTTAGGCTATTAATCCTTTGTTCTATTGGTAGCAATTATTTTTTCTTTTTAATTTGGTCGAGTTGTTTATTTACTGCTAGTAGTCAAGTCTGTTGTTCTTTGTGATTTCTTATTTCTTAGGGGCTTATAATTTCATGAGGTGGGTGTTTCTGGGAAGGTTGTGTACAAGAGGAAAGGGAGAGAGTGAGGTTGCCTGAGTTCAGGGCAGTGAGTGGACCCAGCTGCCAGTCTTCGGCCCCAAGGTCAGGATGTTCACGATGATTGTTCACAGTGGCCTGTCCCACTTCTTAGCACAGCTTTGAGCTGTCTCTACTTTGAGTAGGAAACAGGAAGAGTACTTTTGGCCTCCATTATGCTGCTAAGCCAACTGCATTAAGGGAATTGACCTGATGTTCAGTACCAGCAGAGGCAGGTGGGAACTGGCAGGACTGCTTCACGTCCTCTCCTCATATCACTGGCTGATCTCCTTAAAGGGCTCTGCCTAAAGGGGCTGTGTGCCAAGGCTTGTTTGCTTGCCTCTTGCAGTGACAGTTTTGTTTGGTCCATAATGTAAATGTCATGGCTCTGAAATCCCCCAGCTGTCCATGCTTTGTTATTTCTTCAAAGGGAACTGACTTGTTTTCTACCAGAGGGGGCCAAGGAACATTTGCTATCCACACTGGTTTGATGCATTAAAGGGGAGGAAAAGAGCCAAAAGCAAATGTTGTTTCATTCTTTGTATTCATATGGAAATTTTTAATCTCCATCAAAGGATCAGAAGAAAAATCACATTGAAATTCAATACAGGAGCTTCCAGCTTACACAGAATTTTTCAAAGATGTTTGACTTGATCCTTTACAAAATGACAAAAACTATGAACTGTGTAGCTTCAGGGTTCATAACTTTACTTACCCTCCTCAGCCTCTGCTCTGTCTTGCCTTCCTACCTATACTCCATCTGTGTGGTCCTGTGTCAGCCTGAAGAGCTTCTTTGAATGGGAATTGGGGGTGGAGGGAGTATACTAGTAGAGCAGCAATCATGTTTATAGAGCTGTTTTCAGAGTCTTGTTACTGGTCTCCCTGCCTTTAGTCTCCTTATTCCAGGCCTATTTCCACTGCTGCCAGAATTATCTTACTAAGAAATAAAACTGATCATGTCATTTTCCTGCTTAAAAACTACCACAAAAAGCTTCCATGGTCTGCCTCCCTTATTACCTAATCAGCCTCAACTCCTTCTACCCTTCTCCACTGGATTACGACTTATTTTAAGTCAGAAACTATATATTTCAAAGGCCTAGCACGGTTACTGGCATATTAATAGATGCTTGTTAAATGCTAAATAAATTAATTCATGATTTAAAGTTCTAACAAGGTCACAGTGTGAGAGAGAAAATTAAAAATTATGTGCAAATCTTTCATCCCTCTGTGGTTTCATTTCCTTTACTCGGTAAAAATCAAACATGTACTCACTGTACTAAGGATCAGGTCCCTTCATCCCTGTTACAGATTCCTGTCTCAATAACCCATCAGGAAGCACCATGCTTCCTGAGACCCAAAAAGGCCAAATGAAGGAGAGTTCCAAAGCTCTTAGCCAAAGTAACCTACTACTTGTAATGTAATGCAATGTAAAAATACTGCTGGAATTTTTTTGCTTCTGGAAGTTCTTTTATACATTGATCTTTGATCTTAATTTCTGTAAGTAATTACAGAATGTGATTATATAAAAGTAAACTGAAGTTAACTTTGTTGTAGAAATTCTTTGATAGCCATTGGTAAATAAGTACATTTAATATGAGGGAGTCCACTCTTTTTTTTTTATTGTTTAAGATATTACATATGTTGCCTTTTTCCCCGATTGCCCCCCAACCTGCCACTCCTTCCCCCAGGACAAGCCCCCACCGCCCCAGTGTGTGTCCATCGGTTATGCTAATATGCATGCATACAAGTCCTTTGGTTGACCTCTTACCCCCCTCCCCTACCTTCTCTCAGAGGTTGGACTGTCTGTTCAGTGTTTCTTAGTCTCTGGATCTATTTTTGTTCATCAGTTTATGTTGTTCATTATATCCCACATATGAGTGAGATCATGTGATATTTATCTTTCTCCGGGAGCCCACTCTTAAGTAGATGGAAGTGTTACTGGACGGGACCAGCCCAGAGTGGGTCTGCCTCAGGCTGGCCTGTAGTGCATGGGTTCTTGACTTCGTACAGGAAAGATTTCACAATACAAGTCAGGTGACTTTGAGAGTGTGTTTATTAAAGCTGGGGACAGTGAAACAAAGGAAGGACTTGGGGTAGAAGAAGCAACAGAAGAGAGTCTAGGCCAGGGGTGGGCAACCTTTTTGTGAGTGCATGCCAAAACCAGCAAAATCTCTGACTCAAAATTCTTTTGCGTGCCAACCCTAATTTTTTGAGAACATATTACGCCTACTTGATATCTCTTAAGGTGTACGTATGTGAAGAACCTTGAAGAAATAATAAAATTCATTTGAGCGACAAAAACACAGTATATGATGATGAAAAATACATTTATTTTTTAATGTATACATGTTATGTACAATTATTTATTTATCTAAGATGCACCTACACTAAATTTATCTGAAAAATATAAAAAGTCGATATTAAGAAAAAAATTATAAATGGAAGATTAGAAGAGAGGGTTTCGCGTGCCAGCAAAACACGCATGCCAGGGGTTGCCCACCCCTGGTCTAGGCAGTGTTCTGCTGTGGCTCCCTAGAAACGTTATAGGAAAGAAGTGAGCCAAGGTGGGGCTGCTGTTAGCTCACAGGGAAGTCAGAGAAAAGGAGGGCCTTGGAGACAGTATTATGGGTTAGCCCAGGATGAGCTGCCACTACCCACTGCTTCCCTGGTTGCAAGTCTTGTGGGGACCCTTAAAGTTTAGGAGGAAATAAAAAGTTCATGCCCAAGAAGAGTCATGGGCATACTCTAAAGAGAGCCCACACTGGGTCTTTGTCTTGAGGGTTTTTATCTTTCTTCTGGGGCAAGAATTTTAGGGGATGGGGTTTCAGTAGAATATTCACTAGTTTTTCAGGTACCTTTTTAATATCTGATGCATCAAAATAGAGTTTAGGGGAGTTTGGTATTATTCTTTGGTCTGCTTTGCTATTTTACTTTTATCTTGGGTCTGTCTGACTTTAATGGGATTTTTGTTATTTGTTCCCCTGATTTCATCTGTCCTTGAGTTTGGCTGGCACAAATGGCATTAATCGGGTCTCTGTTCTCTATCTCCCTGACCAGGGTGATTTCAGTTATGTATTCCCTGGTTAAGGAGAAGAGGTATAAACCATTTGCTCTCAAGTATCCTTGGTTCGGGAAGATAAGGTCTTATGATTCACTATCTGGCTATAAGTTGTTCAAATTGTTTGAACAACTTATTTAATTCTCTTGTTTCAGTTTTCCCATTCCACTTGCCAGGAATTTTCCTAGCTTCTTACTATCCTGACTCAGAAGAATGAAATTTGCATGGGAAGTACTTACTAGTATTTAAATAGATTTTAAATTTATAAAATCTGAATCAAACCAGGAGAGCAGTTTCATAGAAGCTAATAAAAAGTGAGAGAGACAAGAAACTTAAGAATGGCCTAAATTTGTAGAATTCAATAATTTGCATAAAGAATAAAAGAATCTCCCATAGTCTCTCTACTGACAGGAAGGATAGAGCAGAAATCTTGTATACAGTCTTTGAATAACGCAGCTGTTATTATTGGGGGGCGGGGGGAGGAGTCATCCCCAAACAGATTAAAAGATAAAAAATATGATGAGCTCCATAGATGCAAAAAAATTTTTTAAATAAAATTCAATACCCATTCATTGATTAAAACTCCTAACAAATTTAGGAATAAAAGAGAACTTCCTTAATCTGATAAAAGGGATATTTTTAAAAAGCCTATAACATGTGCCAACTATTAGCTATAAAGCATGAAGACCAATATCTACACATAGAAGACAACCAATAAATGATAGCTTTGATGATGAAAAATATAACTGTAACAATCATCAATCTAAGTGATAAAATATTAGAAGAATTCTTTTTAAAATAAAAAACGAATAAGGATGACTGCTATCAGTGCTTTTACTCAGCCAATATGGTAAAATAGGGAAAATAAAATATATAGTGATTAGAAAGGAAGAAAAAAATTGTTTTTTTCATAGTTGGTATGATTGTCAGAACCTACAGATAAATTATTAGAATTAATAAGATTTTTTAGCAAGGCAATTGGCTATCAGATCAAAATAGAGAAGAAGTTGAATTTCTGTAAACCAGTAACAAGAAGAAAATAATTGTTTAAAAGAAACTGATGAACAAAATAGATCCAGAGACACAGAAGCGTGGAACGGACTGTCGAATCTCAGAGGGAAGGCAGGGTGGTGGATGGAAGAGATCAACCAAAGAACTTGTATACAGATATGCATAACCCATGGACACAGACAATAGGGTGATGAAGGCCTGGGGGAAATGGGGAGGCTAGAAAGGGTCAGTGGGGGAAAAAGCAGGACATCTGTAATACATTCAACAATAAAGAGCCCTAGCCGCCTTGGCTCCGTGGATAGATCATCGGCCTGCGGACTGAAGGGTCCCAGGTTCAATTCCAGCCAAGGGCACATGCCTGGGTTGCAGGCTTGATCCCCAGTGTGGGGTGTGCAGGAGGCAACCAATCAATGCTTCTCTCTCATCATTGATGTTTCTATCTCTCTCTCCTTCTCCCTTCCTCTCTGAAATCAATAAAGAAATTTTTTTTTTTTTTTTTTGAAAACGAAAAAAAGCCGAAACCGGTTTGGCTCAGTGGATAGAGCGTCGGCCTGTGGACTGAAAGGTCCCAAGTTCGATTCCGGTCAAGGGCATGTACCTTGGTTGCGGGCATATCCCCAGTAGGAGATGTGCAGGAGGCAGCTGATCAATGTTTCTCTCTCATCGATGTTTCTAACTCTCTATCCCTCTCCCTTCCTCTCTGTAAAAATCAATAAAATATATTTTTAAAAAAACATTTTTTTTTTACAATAAAGATTTTTTTAAATAAAAAATTAATAAAATATACCATTTATAATACCAACAAAAATATACGATACTTAGGATTAATCTAACAGAAGATAAGCAAGGCCTTTATGGAGAAAGTTTTTTAAGCAACTTTTTTCAAAAGATCAGAGCATTCTACCTTCTCCCGCATAATTGTCGGTTAATAGTCAAGGCACCATGTTAAAATACACACACTCCTACGCACATGCATGTGCACACATGCCATGTAGATGGGGCTTCGTGAAAGACTCTTTTCTGCATAGATTACGCGAAGGGAGTCCCAGATTCAGTATACTACCTAAAGCTGATAGAGAACTTAGGTCCACTGCTCCTCATGCCACTTTTTATCTCTGTCAGTCCCAAGGTGGCCTGACAGGAAGGAATTTAGCTTTTCCTTCGATGCACAGCTTTTAATCTCTATGATTTAAACAGTCAGATTCCTCATATTTGACCACTCTTTCTTCCTAGGTCAATCACGTCCGTCCGGAGTGAACTGATTCCATACCTAGTAAGAAAACAGTTTTCCTCAGCTTCCTCACAACAAGGACAAGAGGAAAAAGAGGAGGATCTAAAGAAAAAGGAGCTGAAGCCCTTAGGTCAGTACTTGGGTTGGTGCAATAAGGTTGGGGTAGTAGCACCTTTGGAAAGAGTGGCTGGGCAGCTTACTGATTTTTGTCTAGTCACCCAGCAAGACAGGCTAGCTGTCGCCACTCTCTGAGCTCTGGGTAAACTTGCTTAAGCAGATCCTGTCACTGTGCTCTTCAGGGACAAGCTAATCATGTCTCAGGTTCATTCTTTAGACCAGCCGTGGGCAAACTACGGCCCGCGGGCCGGATCCGGCCTGTTTGAAATGAATAAAACTAAAAAACAGCCGAAACCGGTTTGGCTCAGTGGATAGAGCGTCGGCCTGCGGACTGAAAGGTCCCAGGTTCGATTCCGGTCGAGGGCATGTACCTGGGTTGCGGGCATATCCCCAGTAGGAGATGTGCAGGAGGCAGCTGATCGATGTTTCTCTCTCATCGATGTTTCTAACTCTCTATCTCTCTCCCTTCCTCTCTGTAAAAAATCAATAAAATATATTAAAAAAAAAAAAATTAAAAAAAAAAAAAAAAACTAAAAAACAAAAAACCGTACCCTTTTATGTAATGATGTTTACTTTGAATTTATATTAGTTCACACAAACACTCCATCCATGCTTTTGTTCCGGCCCTCCGGTCCAGTTTAAGAACCCATTGTGGCCCTCGAGTCAAAAAGTTTGCCCACCCCTGCTCTAGACCATTCTCTAGATCCTCACTAGACCATTTTAACTTTAAACTCTTCCCACCACTTCTCAGTTCCCCTGTTTTCTAGGCTCTGGGCAGCCCCACTCCTGACTAAACTCAGCCTCTCTGTCAAGGGAAGAAAGGTGTACAATTACAGTCCAACCAGAGGTCTCCTTTCCAGGGTGCAAGGGCGAGGTCTGTCTTGTTTGCTCTCATATCCCTGCCTAAAAATATATACTTATCAAATGAATTATTAGCTCTGTGACCTGAAGGAGGTTACTCAGTCTTCTTTTGTTTTTTAAACCAGTACATTTTATTTGACCTTAGACTACATACTCCCCAATTTGTCTCAGTTGTGATACGTAGATGGATTTAGATTGCTTTTGGTGTGCTCAGTCTACTAAACCCCAGTTTTTGTATCATAAATGATCCCAAATGATTATTGTAAGAGTTGAAAAACTGGAGCCCAGCTACTTTGGATCTAAGTTTTGTGCTATTTCTGTCCTGGTACAACTTCCAGATATGTAATAGAGGCTAGCCCCACAATATGGCGGGTCACTAAAACCTGGACACTTGCTTGTGTTACTTCATGATTTACAGGAGTCACCTATTTTTTTTTCCCCTTAGTAGCGCTTGGTTATTGGTCAAATTTGCTTTAGGACCTCTTTTAAAGTATTTTTGTTTCTTACAATATTTCAAACATACAAGAAAGCACATTGCCTCTTTTAATTTTACTTAGTCTTTCAAGCTCTAGTGGGATTTTCCCAGGGTCCATGCTGCATGAGTGGGTTCCACGGGGAGAGGTGTGAACTTTGCCCTGTTTCAAAACTTACTGAATCTTTATCCCCTCTGTCACCTCTCTCATTCATTTGCTTGGTTTGGATGTTTGTTCTGAAGATATTTACAGTTTTATAAAAGAAACCAATGCACTGACCTTTGCCCCTTATGATGGCTGCTGGAATGCCTGTCGAGGAGACAAGTGGGAAGACTTGTCCAGATCACGGGTGCGCTGCTATGTCCACATCATGAAAGAGGGGCTCTGCCTTCGATTGAGCACCCTGGGACTCTACATAGAAGCAAACAGACAGGTGAGAGGATGGGTCTAGAAGAGAAGTCATGGGAGCTCCTTCCCTAGAAACAAACTGAGTCTTTTGTCTTAATTTATTCATTAGATAGACCATGACTTGTTCAGAATCCCTTTCACTCCAGGTTGAGAAAGACCTGGACTATCAGGCGAGACCATTGGAGTTTCCAGGTACAGCAAAAGTGGCAGCAGAGGGCCTGGTCCATAGAGGCAGAGCCTCTGTGACTCTAAAAAGAGGCTAAGATCTCCAGGAAGGCTAATCTATGGCTCTGGGTTCAGCAGCTTTCCCCTATTCTGCTCAGCAGGGGTATATGTACAGTACTTCATGAACAAGCAGGTAAGTACTGCATAATAAGTCCTGTGGTGACATAAACACAGGCACACAGAGGAGGCTTTCCTAAGAAAGTGAAGGAACAGAGTATAGAGTAGCCAGATGGCAACACCTCAAGGATGGAACGTCTATGAGAGAAATGCCTGGAAACAGCATTAGAAGGTGAGGAGTCTTGTTAACCCCTTTTTTTAACCCTGAGGTTTATGAGATATAGAGAATGAGTAACTTCTTTTGAAGGGGAAGCAGTGCCATGAAAGACAAGCCAGGTTTTAGTTTAGTTAAGGGATGCAGAGAGGGACAGAGAAGAGGCTAAGGGTATAGGGGAGCTCTTATCGTGTAGCAATCACAGGAGAAAGGTTTTTGGAGAAGGGAAAGATGAGACCATGAAAAGAAACACAGAGCAGTAAAGGACTGAAATGAGAACAGGAGCCCTGGCTGGTTTGGCTTAGTGGATAGAGCATCAGCCGAGGGACTGAAGGGTCCCGGGTTCGATTCCGGTCAAGGGCACATGCCCAGTTGCGTGTTCAGTCATCAGTCGGGGCCTGCAGGAGGCAGCCGATTGATGTTTCTCTTCCTCTCTCTTTCTTTCTGAAATAATAAAAATAAAAAATAAATGAGAATAGGAAAAGATAGATGATTGAGGGAACTACATTAGAATGACATTCAATAACAGAGATGAGATTATGAAAAGATTAGCTGTTGACATGGTTCCTGGTAGAACCTTGTGAAAACTGTCAGTGCAGGTATAAGCTGGGGAGGGATGGAGAGGCAGGTAGAGTGATTAAAGTTGCTGGAAATTGGGATTGGGATTGAGTCCAAAGAAAACCTGGCTCAGGAATCTTGAGAACCCACACCAGCTCCAGACCCCGAGCTGGCTTCCACCAAAATTGGTTATAGATTTAAAAGAATCCAGGCCAGAGAGTTTATGAGAAATCACAACTAATTCCATGTTTACTCAGGGCAGTCCTGGATAAAGTTAGCCCCAATTTAGGGTCAGAGCTATTAGAAAGCTTCCAAGATTTTTAGTTCTCTTTCTTTAGACTATCATTAGTCTGTCAGACCGGTCAAAAGCAGGTCCATGGACAGCATGAGGCTAGAGAAGTATCCTCTGAAGTGACAGCAAAGGCTGTGCAGCCAACAGGCCTGAATGGCTTTGGTTGTAATAGAGGAGATCTCCATTCTCCTAACCATTTTTGTTTTCTCATACTGGAGAGAGAATGGTGGTAACTTTCCCATCAGCATTTTATTTTGACTGGTGAAGAACATGGGTGCTTTCTCAGGATCTGTCCTGATTATGAAATTTGTGTAACATTGCTCCCATCCTCACCTCATGCATGGCCACAGAGGTCAGGAAGTGAGCAAGAACCTAGGATGACTGTGGTCAGGACTCAGAATGCTCCTTGCCCTCCTTAGGCCTCCTCCCCTAAGTGCTGCCTGGATATGTCAAAGGTTGATCTCAACACCTCCTAGCTGAGGGACATGGCATTACTTTCAGGGATGATACTCTCAGCTCAGAAACTGAGGATAAGGCCATAGAAGCTGCTGCGTAAATAACCCTTGTCCCAGGGAAAATGCAAGAGCCTCCTGCTCTGCCTCATCCAGACAGGAAGCTGTGGCTGGAAACTCCCACGTCTCTGACTGGGCATTGGGTTCTACCTAAGGTGCTTTCAGGTGTTTTTTGGTATTACTTTAATGGCTAAATCTCTTTCCTCAAGGTGCCCAAATTGCTACCTCTTCTCTGTCCAGAAGAAACACTGGTTCATTCATCAGCCCAGATTGTCAACAGACACTTGGTAAGTGCTAGCTTGTGCAGGGCAGGTATGGGATGATCTCTGGGTGCATTGAGGCTTGCTCTTGGGAAGCTAGATAGGGCTCTCAAGCCCAGAACCTCATTAGCCCCAGGGAAATCCCAACAGGGTTTTGGTTACAAAATTTCACCTTGGGCTAGAATCTGCCTGGAGAGGTGCTGACACCAACTACACAAACCCTATTAAGGAAAGTCCATTATAGTCCTGGGGCTCAGACAAAGGAGCTTTCCCTCTCTCCCCCTCTTCTTACCCTGAATTGAGCACTGTCTCCAAGAGAACATATCTATACACCCAAGTGCATGAGAGTGTAAGTTTGAGTTGGTCTCAGAGGTATTGCGTGACTTGTGACCCTAAGAAATACTGATGATGGTTTCTCTTGCTGAAGTATCCCTTGGAAAATATCCTGTTAGGCCCCAGCTCAAGGGATCTGGGGGGCTAATTTGCATTTGGCCAAGATGAATGGAGAGAATTTTATTATTTGCCTTTTGCAGGTTGGAGTTGACTGCCTCATTGGGCCAGATACACAGATTGGAGAGAAGTCATCCATTAAGCACTCGGTCATTGGTTCATCTTGTGTCATAAGAGATAGAGTGACTATCACCAGTTGCCTTCTCATGAACTCAGTCACCGTGGAGGAAGGGTATGTTTCCCCTTGTGCCCACTTGAGACAAGGCCCGTGGTACCGCTCAGAGGCTTTGGGAGCCAGTACAGCCTGGGAAAGGGCTCAGCTTGGCGAAGGGAAGAAAGGCAAAAGGATGAAGGGAAGAATAGTTCCTAGGCCCTTTGAGGTCTTAATTTTGGTTCCATGATGAAATAGTCTCTGAAAGCATTCCAACAGTCTTATCATACTTATGACATTTGGTCCTAGAAGAAACTACTCTCTCCTGCTTTGATATCCTGCTTGATGGGTGGCCTCAGTAGTGAACTGGCAATGCGGGATGACACTGTACCGGTATCTAAGGGTCACCGTCCCATATCTTAGTATCCCGAGATGCCCTGAAGAAGGCAGAGGCCTAGGAAGAGTGGACGTATAAGCCACACACCGTTTTTGATGGAGCGCTTCTCTGTTACTAATTATGGAGAATGTTCCCCCATTTTGAGATTCTATAGTGTCCTAAAATCTTGGCTTATGAACAACCTGTACTTGGAGTAAGAAAACATGAATAATGTTTAATAGCATTCTTCCTCTGTATTGACCTCAGATATTTTCTTATATAAAAAGCAAGCATACGTGAAAACAGAGGAAGGATACCAAATCAGTGATTTTCAGACGTTTTAGAAAGGTTTGCCCCAAAAAAAAGGTTTTCAGACTTTTTCTTAAGGCAAATCTTATGCAGAAACTCAGTATTTAAAAGTGATAAAAGCACAGTGGTTTGGAATACTGTGAGGAAGGGGTGCTTGTCCTTATAGGACAGGGGTGGGCAACCTTTTTGTGAGTGCGTGCCAAAACCAGCAAAATCTCTGACTCAAAATTCTTTTGCGTGCCAACCCTAATTTTTTGAGAGCATGTTACACCTACTTGATATCTCTTAAGGTGTACGTATGTGAAGAACCTTGAAGAAATAATAAAATTCATTCAAGCGACAAAAACACAGTATATGATGAAAAATACATTTAATTTTTATTGTATACATGTTATGTAAAATTATTTATTTATCTAAGATGCACCTACACTGAATTTATCTGAAAAATAAAAAAGTCGATATTAAGAAAAAAAATTGTAAATGGAAGATTATAAGAGAGGGTTTCATGTGCCAGCAAAAGTTACTGGCGTGCCATGTTTGGCACGTGTGCCAGGGGTTGCCCACCCCTGTTATAGGATGTGAAGCAGATCTATAAAACAAATTTTGAAGACCTCTGGGCTAGACCAGCCTGAGTTTGATTCTGGCTCACACATCTGTTGGTTTCTCTGTCCAGTAACTGAGAGGAGAGAAGTATAGGGGAAGACTGCAAGCCTGGTGAAAGCTGAACTACTCACAGCTCCCAGTGAGGGTTGGGAGAAGCATTTTGGGAAGAGAATAGAGATAGAGCTAAAGGTTAAGCCTTTGCTGTTTAGAAAGAATGACTGATGGAAGACAATAGGCAGGATTTAGGGAGGAAGTGCCATAATAAAAAACCAGGAACGCTGGAGACCACAGGGCTGTTGCCACTAAGATCTGTCCTTCCCCAAGCCCACAACCTGGCTTGACTTCCAGAACCCTTGCAACCAGCCCTCAGCCTTCAGCCAAAAGTTAAGAAGAATCTTCTCTGGTGAATCCAACCAGCCCAATAAGAAAAACCTAAATTTGTTTGCATCAGAGATTACTAACAGCCCAGTGAAATCACCCTGTAGTGACAAATTTCATTCATGTTTCTAGAGCTTCCAATCAGCTCTTTAGAATTCTCCCTTAAATACAAAGACATAATCAAAGATCACCAGAGATCTAAAGAAAGCTTCTATCATGAAAGATAGACACCACATCAAACAAATAGAAAACAGCAACTGAGAAGAAACAGAGGCTCTGCAGGGAGAGAAAAATACTTTCAAGTAACCTGTCATTTCAAAGAACAGAAAAAGAACCCTAGGCAATTAAAAATATGGTAACATATTTTCTTATTTCAGAAACATCTCCTCATTTTGATCTTAGCTCAGATTTCACCATTTAAGAAGAGGCTTTGCTTACTACCCTATCAGCAATAATCTGTCCCAGTACTCTCCATTACATCAACCTGTCTTATATCCTTTGTAGCATTTTTACTGTCTGGCCTTAAGAAGTACACATTGGCACTGGTTAGAGTGTTGTCCTGATACACCAGTCAGGGCACATACAAGAAGAAACGAATGAGTCTATCTATATAAAAGCCTAAGCGACCATCGCAACCAAATGGACAATCGAACAGGCTGCGTGGGGCAACCCGGCCGGCAGGGGGGTTAGTGAGGGGCGACCAAACAACCGAACAGCAGGCTGCGTGGGGCGACCCGGCCAGCAGGGGTGTTAGTGAGGGGCGACCAAACGAGCAGCAGGCTGCATGGGGCAACCAGGCCAACAGGGGTCGCAGTGAGGGGTGACCAAACAACCGAACAGCAGGCTGCGTGGGGCGACCAGGCCAGCAGGGGGGGCAGTTGGGGGCAACCAGACCAGTGGGGGGGGGGGGCGGGGGGGCATTTGGGGGCGATCAGGCCAGCAGGCAGAGGCAGTTAGGAGTGATCGGGCTGGTGGGGGCAGTTAGGGGTGACCAGGCCGACAGGGGGAGCAGTGAGGGGCAATCACGCTGGCAGGCAGAGGTGGTTAGGGATGATCAGGCTTTCAGAGGGGACAGTTAGGGACAATCAGGCCCACAGGCAGGTGAGCAGTTAGGAGCCAGTGGTTCAGGATTGTGAGAGGGATGTTTAGGCCCGATCCCCAAGCAGTCAGACATCCCCCGAGGGGTCCTGGAATGGAGAGGGTGCAGGCTGGGCTGAGAAGACCCTCCCCCTCGCCCCCCACACGAATTTCGTGCATCGGGCCTCTAGTGTATAAGTAGAACAACAAAATATCTCTCTCTCTCTCTCTCTCTCTCTCTCTCTCTTCCTCTTCCTCCCTCTCTCTAAAAAATAAATAAATAAATAGCCTGGCCAGTGTGGTTCAGTGGTTGAGCATCAACCTGTGAACCAGGAGGTCATGGTTCGATTCCCCTATGGCCATGGTCGGCAAACTGCGGCTCGCGAGCCACATGCGGCTCTTTGGCCCCTTGAGTATGGCTCTTCCTAAGCCTTAGGAGTACCCTAATTAAGTTAATAACAATGTACCTACCTATATAGTTTAAGTTTAAAAAATTTGGTTCTCAAAAGAAATTTCAATCGTTGTACTGTTGATATTTGGCTCTGTTGACTAATGAGTTTGTTGACCACTGCCCTATAGGGATTGAGCCTGTCATGCCTGGGTTGCAGGCTCAATCCCCAGTAGGGGCATGCAGAAGACAGCCAACCAATGATTCTCTCTCATCATTGATGTTTCTATCTCTCCCTCTCCCTTCCTCTCTGAAATCATACAAATATATTTAGAAATAAAAAAATCAATAAGTAAATAAAAAAGGAAGTACAAATTGGTAGCTACAAAATAGTCATGGGGATGTAAAGTACAAAATAAGGAATATAGTCAATAAGATTATAATAACTATGGTGCCAGGTGAATACTGGATATATTGGTGGGAACACTTTGTAATATGATTGTCTAACCACTATGCTGTACACCTGAAACGGATAGAAAATAATATTGAATGTAAACTAATTTAAGATAAAAATTTAAAAAGAGGTCCTAAACTAAGGCAACAGCAGTGGAGATGGAAAGGAGAAATAATAAGGTGATAAACACTATAAAACATGGTGACTGCCTAAATATGTGAGGTAAAAGGGCGAGAAATCAAGATGCCCAGGTTTTGCTTGAGCAATAAAGTTTCTCATGTGCTAGTCACTAAGATATAAATCAATAAAGGAGGAGCAAGAGATTCCACTCCTGCACATCTTCACCCCTTACCACCACCTCCCACACCCCTCCTTGCCCCTCACCACCCCCCTTTCCTCTCCACCACACCCCCTCTTCCACCACACCCCTCCTCGCCCCTTACCACCTCCTCATAAGAAAAAAAAAAGGAGGAGCAAGACATTACTAATTGGTAGGCAGGGAAATGATGAGTTCACTTGGGACAAGTTGCGTTCATGGCAGGCAACCTTGATGTGCAGGACTGGAGTTCAGGAAAGAAGCCTATGCAAAGTACAGATTTGGGAATGGTTGGCATAGAAGTGGTCACATAAGATCACTCAGGGATAGTGTGTGGCATTATAAGAAAAACCAAGACAAAATCTTGGGGAACATCAGCAATTTTAGACATAAGAAATGGGATCTAAGGAGACTGACAAAGAATGAGCAAGGAAGGTATATAAAGGGCAAGGGAGGGGACAGTTGGTAGGTGAAGCCCAGGTTTCTCGTTGGGTAAACAGGTAGATGGTGTAGTACTCACTGAGATGAGGAAGGGAGAAGGAGCAGTATATTTGTGGGGCTATAAAGCCTGTGTAGGGCACGTGAGATTGGAAGTACTTCATTCAGATGTGTGAAGGTATCTAGGTACCCAGTTTGATTAAAGGTTGAGAGAAGAGGTCAGACGTAGAGACCTCTTTCTGAATTACTGTGGTCTTTTCTAACTTATTTTCCTGTTTCCATTTTTTTTTCTCTTCCAAATCCTCCTACTATGTAATCCACCATCTAAAGCATAAACTTTAGAATCAGACTGCCAGACTGAATCCTGGGTCTGTAACTTACTAGTCACTTAGGAAATTGGCTTTACCTCCTTGTGCCTGATTTTCTCACTATAAAATGGGGTAAAAACTGAGCTACCTCACAGGTTTATGAGGAGTACTAAACTAAAGGAGTTGACAGACAAAGCACTTAGAGCAGAAAGACAATAGGCAGGATTTAGGGAGGAAGTGCCATAATAAAAACCAGTGCATGGCACATAGAATGTTAGCTGTTACTTTATTATCATCACCATTACTTTATCTCATTTCACGGAGGTAGTATGTTGCCAGCATTGTCTTTCTAAAGGATATCTTTACTCTTATCTCTGACCTATTAAAAAAAAAAACATTTGAAAACTCTCCATTACCTTTATAGAATAAAGTTT